ATTATCAAAACAGGTACTCTTATTTGTGTCTAGACACTGACATGTTTAATCCCTCTGTCGGGTTCTCTTTTGGGCAAACTTGAAAGATGTGTAGAGATCTAACTACGGACGTCCTGATACGACCTTTTTTTTCTGTCACTTATATTTTATTATTTTTTGATCATACAACAAACATACAAATAAAAAGGAACAAAGCACACTAACATGAACATGTCTGGGGAGCACATTCTTTTCAGTTTTTCTGTTTATATAATGTCCATTTTCCCCATGTTTTTTCATCTGTGATTCTTGTAGTCTCAGTCTGTGTGTTAGTCTTTCCCTGAGAAATATGTCTTCGATCGTCGTGATCCATTGGTCCTTTGATGGCACGTTTGGCTTCCCCCATTTCCTTCTTATACATTTCTTTGCAGCCATCAACATCATTTTTACCAAATAGTTATCCTTTTCATGGATAGTATCATCACCAAAATTGCACAAATAGAAAATTTCAGGTTTCATTGGAATTACATACCCTAATACTTCACATAATACACTGTAAACCATTTCCCAGAACTCCAAAAGTTTTGAACACTTCCAAAAAACATGGGAATGGTTGACATCTATCTCCCCGCACTCTCTCCAACATTATTGATGCCTATGCATTTGTTTACCTTTGGACTTGGGCGTAATAAAAAATTTTATTAGATTTTTCCAGGCAAATTCCCTCCATGTCCGAGAGCCAGTAGTTGTATGGTGTAGATTCCACATGTTGAGCCAATCAATATCTTTAATTTCTAAGTCAAATTCTCTTTCCCATTTTCCCTTTACATGGTTAGTTGAATGTTTATCAAGGTTTATTAGGGCTTTGTATAATGTCGTTATTATTCTATTATTATTATTATTATTCTAATATTATTGTCTTTGTATGCTTTAATTATAATTTTGACCACTTCGCTGTCTTCCATGGAGGGCGTCATTTGTATTTCCTTTTTTGTAATAGTCTCTCATTTGGAGATATCTGAAAAAGTCATGTTTATCAAATTGGTATTTATGTGCCAGAGTTTTGAAACTTTCCAGCCTCTTATTGTTTTCCAGAACACACAAAGCTGTAACTCCCTTATTTGTCCAGTATCTATAATTTTGGTCGATTTTAGCTGGCTTAATTTGCTATCATACGCTACCCATTTTAGTTCTGTTGTATGCTTTTGGATTTTATGCAGATGCAGTATTCTAAACCAGATATTTAACGTATGTATAGTTATCAAGTCTAAATGAATTTATTTTTTTTTTCATATTTATCTTTGTCTCTGAGCAAGTTTTGAATAGGCTGTTCCACTGATCCAACTTCTATATCTTTCCATTTACCATAATGATATGGATTACACCAACAATAAATATATTTTAATTGTGAAGCCTCGTAGTATTGTTTTAACTTTGGTAACGCCATTCCTCCCATTTCTTTGGGTAGCTGGAGAGTTTTATATCTCACCCTAGGCCTCTTGCCATCCCAAATAAATCTAGATATTATTCTTTCTGATACAACCTTTTAATTTCCGATACATTACCGATATTTAGGGCTCCATCTAAGCTTTTTTCCCTCACATGACTGTAACAGCAAAACCACAGCGTCACGTTTTTGGCTCCAATTCATGTTGCTCACGCTTTAATTGCCAGGCAAACATTCTGAGGGTTTGAACGTTTCTGTCATCGGAAGCCTTTTTGTTTCCTAATAACATGTTTCCTTTTTGACCTATTTAATTAAACTAAGAATTGATCATCAAAACATTTACTCTTATTTGTGTGTGGACACTGACATGTTTAATCCCTCTGTTGGGTTCTCTTTTAGGCAAACTCGAAAGATGTGTAGAGATCTAACTACGGACGTCCTGATACAACCTTTTAATTTCCGATACATTACCGATATTTGGGGCTCCATCTAAGCTTTTCCCCTCACATGACGGTAACGGCAAAACCACAGCGTCACGTTTTTGGCTCCAATTCATGTTGCTCCAGCTTTAATTGCCAGGCAAACATTCTGAGGGTTTGAACATGTCTGTCATCAGAAGCCTTTTTGTTTCCTGCAAACATGTCTCCTTTTTGACCTATTTAGCTGAACTAACAATTGATTATCAAAACAGGTACTCTTATTTGTGTCTAGACACTGACATGTTTAATCCCTCTGTTGGGTTCTCTTTTGGGCAAACTCGATAGATGTGTAGAGATCTAACTACGGATGTCCTGATACAACCTTTTAATTTCCGATACATTACCGATATTTAGGGCTCCATCTAAGCTTTTCCCCTCACATGACGGTAACGGCAAAACCACAGCGTCATGTTTTTGGCTCCAATTCATGTTGCTCAAGCTTTAATTGCCAGGCAAACATTCTGAGGGTTTGAACATATCTGTCATCACAAGCCTTTTTGTTTCCTGCAAACATGTTTCTTTGTTGATCTATTTAATTAAACTAACAATTGATCATCAAAACATTTACTTTAATCATGTTTAATCCCTCTGTTGGGTTCTCTTCTGGGAAGATGTGTAGAGATCTAACTACGGATGTCCTCACGCAACCTTTTCATTTCCGATACAATACGGATATTTAGGGCTGCAAATAACGATTATTTTGCACATTGATAAATCTGTTGATTATTTTTTTCGATCAATTGATTATCAATGAGATATCCAAAGGTTCCTTAAAGAAGATTTTTTTACGAAATGAAGCCAGCTGAAACTAAAATAAATAAATAATAAAATATCGGTTTGCAAACACAAAACAATGGGATGTGTTTGGTAAAACGGATGTATTTATACATCGTTTAGGTAACTTAGATGTAGGGGAAAGATTATAACTTTGTAAATGTTTTATTCTATTAGAATTTGGGCTAAAAGTTAAATACTTACAGGTATTTTTGTGTGTTAGGGAGTTTTGCTACATTCACACCGGAAACAAGTGCTGCAGCTGAAGCAGCCGCTTTACATGGAAAGACTATAGTTGATGTGCATCAAAATGTCCTGCAGCGCGTCTAG